CGTGGTATGTCAAAGGCCAACAGTGAGGTGGCTCAGTGGAGAACTAAGTATGAAACTGATGCTATCCAGCGCACGGAGGAGCTTGAAGAATCCAAGTAAGTAACTTTCACTGACTTATAGTTTGGCATATCTTGAAAATCCATACACTTTTGAAAGAAAATGCATTCAGGCATGATATCCATTACTGCAGGAACCCTTTTTTAAATTTCTTGATCATACCATTCTTAATGTTTAATTTTCCAAAGACATTTATTTCCAGTCTCAAATAAATCTCTGCTCTTCAATAAAGGAAAAAGCTGGCTACACGTCTGCAGGAGGCAGAGGAACAGATTGAGGCTGTGAACTCCAAGTGTGCTTCTCTGGAGAAGACCAAACAGAGGCTCCAGAGTGAAGTGGAGGACCTCATGATTGACGTGGAGAGAGCTAATGGACTTGCTGCCAACCTTGACAAGAAGCAAAGGAACTTTGACAAGGTAGCACCAATGGCTTTGGAAGACGTCAACCCATAAATTCATTTTCTATGTAGAAATAAACACTAAGTATCCTAATTTTCTTGTCTTAGGTGCTTGCAGAGTGGAAACAGAAGTATGAGGAGGGTCAGGCCGAGCTTGAGGGAGCCCAGAAAGAGGCTCGTACTCTCAGCACTGAGTTGTTCAAGATGAAGAACTCCTATGAGGAAGCCCTGGATCAGCTGGAGACCATGAAGCGTGAAAACAAGAACCTCCAACGTCAGTTACTACTTTATTTCTTCCGCTTTTTGTAGCGTTTTTTCTTCTACACCTCAAGATTAAATATGATTCATATATCTCTGCAGAGGAGATCTCAGATCTGACTGAACAGATTGGTGAGACTGGAAAGAGCATTCATGAGCTGGAGAAGTCCAAGAAGCAGGTGGAGACAGAGAAGGCTGAGATCCAGACAGCTCTTGAGGAGGCTGAGGTGGGTTTTTTTTTTTTCGCACGAGTTTCTCTGAAAACAAAATTCAGTGCTATGCACAAATGCTCTGTGAAATGTTTGAGGAAGGAAATAAAAGTTTTATATTTGATGTCATTAGGGAACTCTGGAGCATGAGGAGTCCAAGATCCTGCGTGTCCAGCTTGAGCTCAACCAGATCAAGGGTGAGGTGGACAGGAAGCTCGCAGAGAAAGATGAGGAGATGGAGCAGATCAAGAGGAACAGCCAG